CGCAACAAGAATGTATCGCTATTTTCGTATCTGTGAAAACATTGTTTGTCACATATAGAATTATAGCAGTAATGTTCTAGCAATAGCTTCTGAAAAATTTAGGTACCATTGCTAAATGTTATTCATTGCATGATCTAACACGTGATTGATCTTATATAGATAGGCGCTTTAGAGAAACTTTCTTTTTAAAGTTCACAAACAATACAGATATATATTCTGTTTCTGTCATCTAAACTGATTAAGTAATTACATATGCAATATCACAACAGTTGCTAATCATTTATCTGTTTTAGTTAATTTTTTACACCTAGAAAATTTTAGCTATTATTGCAAGATCATTTTTTGAGTGGAGGTCCAGTACAGAGAACCATTATGGAATCCATATTTATCTTTTATTTGAAATAATGGATTTACCCAAAAAGATTTTTTTGTAATGTTTTTTCTGTTTTTCTTGCAAATAAAGAACTGCCGACAATACTAATAATCTTCTTCTCGTTTCCTTCATATTAGTTTCATTAATAATTTTTGTACACTCCATCATCCAATTATATTTTTTTCTTTGTGACATTTTATTTTATATAAACTGTATATACTGTTGTGTATGTAATGGATTTGTCGTCCTACTAAATCGCTGGAAGTTATTTTTATATTCAATAACTAGTCACGTGACTTTTTCATCGCTGAAAATGAGCGATGAGCGACGCATGAAAAGGTACCTTTATTACTGCATTCGTATAGTTCGTTGCCCGATATTCAGTGAAAAGAGGTTATGTTATACAGCAGTCGGCAACTTTTACTGACTTTTACGAACCATCACTTACGAACACTTACAAATGCTAAAGCGAACGCGGACAGTAACTTTTAATACAGCGTTGTAATAATTTCGTTATTATGGCGTTGACAATCACGGGGAGTTTCGATGCGTCGCATATCATGCTCCAACAGTGTACCAAGGTGGTTTATTAACCATCAAGAAGGACGTACCGAATAGATGCAAAGTTTCCGAGAGCTGTTAGACATCCGAAGATGTTTACGTTTTTACTTGAAATTTGATCGTTGATCGTCGGATGTTGAAGATGTGCATTGAAAATGGAACTGCTCCGGACTTTAAGATAATTAATAATATCGGAGGAATGTAAAATCGTAATATGAGATACTTGTGACACTCGCCCGCAGTAAGTTAACGATGACCTGGACGTAGTAATCGCAAAGAGTCCAAAGTCACTCGATATTCTATTCAACGTGTAGTTTGAATGTTTATAACAAAACCGTCTATTATACGCTCCAATTAGAATATTATAAAATATACGTTTACGAAGAGATGTTTGGTGTCGATAGGTCTTGTATGACGATGCGACTGAACTTCAAAACAGTTTTACTTGTATTGGTTGTCGGAACCTTGAGTTTTCTACTTACAACATGGAACAATTGCGGAGGTAATTTGTTGTTTCATGCTGCAGATTGGAAAACAAAGTATCAACATAAGGTAGGATATCAAGTAAATATGTCTTAGAAGGTCTATCTATGATTTATATAATGTAACAAGAGCAAGCAAATTTTAATATATTATTTTATACAGAATAATTACTGATATTTTAATTATATGTTTCAATACAGGATCGTTTAAGTACTGAATCAGGATATCAAGAAATAGATTGTCACATAAACGGCGATTATTCAATAGGATGTCGTAAAGAAGGCGATGAAGTGTACATACCATTTTCATTTATTCATAAATATTTTGAGGTTTGTTAATTTAGTGTATTCAATATACTATTATTCTACATACACAATACAATAATTTGATGCATAATGTTGTAGATTTATGGAAAATTAGCTACTTACGATGGTTTGGAGAGATTTGAATGGTTGCATAGCTATTCGAAAATTGTGAATCCTAAGGGAAAGTATGACTCTAGGGGTGTATTTATGACTTTTGAAAATTACAACGTTGAAGTCAGGGATAGAGTTAAGTGCATTAGCGGTATTGATGGTGTCCCGATATCGACGCAATGGGAGAGTCAGGGATACTATTATCCCACGCAAATTGCTCAATTTGGATTATCACATTACAGTAAAAATCTTACGGAACCAGAACCGCACAGAAAAATCGTCGAGGATTCCGATAAAGTCAAGCAGAATTGGAATGTCCCTCAGAGGATCGGTTATCAGCAGAATGTACGACAAACAAGTTAATAGTTACGTTTTGAAATTTGCAACACCCGAAACCAGCATTTCCGGAATCTCTTTAAAGTTGGATCACGTATTAGATTTTGTCATGAAATGGGATTTTAATATTAAGGACAATGGAAGTATTACGGTTATACTACAATACTCAAGAGAGAAAAAGGAGACATTTTATCTTCATTATGTTACCAGCAATACAGTGTTACATAATTATAATAATCATGTATATTATGGTATTGGACAAACTAATCATCAGTGGAGACGTCTCACTAGAGACCTTGTAGTTGATTTACAGAAAGGTCTTTACTTAAATGATAAGAGCAAGAAAAAATTACCCCGATCTAAATTAAAGGTAATCTTCAAATTATTGAATGTCAATTCGAATTGTGGTTTATTAATATTCCTAGAGAATATTTTCGATTATTTATAAATCATACAAAATCTTATTTGCTTTAGATAGTCAAAATAACTTTGTATGGTTCCGGTATGATTGACAATATTACATTGTCGACTAGTGAACATATGGAGCAATTTTATGATGCAGCAAGATGGTTTGTTGCTAATCAAAATGTCACATCTGGTGGCTGGCCAAACCCTGTCAGGAGAAAAGTAGCACCTGGAATGGCTATTCTTGAGCCTGGATGGTACGTTACATGTTTATACATATAGACTGATAGCCTAGAGACAGACTGATAACAATAATAATTTACAAAACCCTACAGTAGGAGTAACATAAGAATTAATTTTACAAGGAAAAAATATATGATTGCAGGTACTCCAGCATGGGTCAAGGCCATGCAATATCGGTACTAGCGCGCGCGTATTATCATTCTGGGGAGGCAAAATACTTACAAGCGGCTATTAGAGGCTTGCGACCTTTTAGACTATCCTCCGTCAAAGGAGGCGTGGCAGCGCTGTTTTTAAGCAAATACATATGGTACGAGGAGTATCCCACAACGCCCTCATCTTTTATTCTCAACGGTTTTATTTATTCGCTTATCGGACTTTATGACTTGAAGAGCGTAGCGACAAGTAAGGACGCGGAGGAAGCGTCCAGACTTTTTAATCAGGGTATGATTTCGTTGAAGAACATGCTAACATTGTACGACACCGGCTCAGGTACAACATATGATTTGCGTCATTTTACATTAAAGACAGCTCCTAACTTAGCTAGATGGGATTATCATTCTACTCATATTAATCAACTTCTTCTTCTTAATTCTATTGACAACGATCCTATTTTTATGACGACTGCAGAAAGATGGATAGGTTATATGAATGGCAAAAGAGCGGCACATAATTAATTGCACATTTAGATAACAATTCTATCTTTTTTTATATTATTTATTTATTTCCATTTCTTCCCTTTCGTTTTGTAAATTTTTTTATTATTTTTATGGAAACATAGATATATATCTGAACGCTTCTCCAGCAAAGTATAAATATTTTATGTAATTTTTATTTTGTCTGATAGTGTAGTCGGGCGATTTTAGAAGAATTGAAATTATACAATAGAAGAAGCAAATGTGAGATTAATATTGAAATAATTTAATAAATTAATACGTCGTGGTGAGGCTCCTGTTTTCTCTCTGCAACACTATACGTATTGAATTATATATATTTACTTATATAACATCAGAAATAAAGAATCGTAAAGTTTTGGTTGCAGTGAAGGAACAGCAGCTTTAATATCGTTGTAGTTAAGTAGGATAAAATATACGTAATGATAGAATCTGTCTTTAACGTATTTATTAACAAGAAATCTGCATGAGAAATCTGAACAATCGAGGCCAGACAATGTCTCTATTTGAAAATTAATAAACTTTACACATAACGGTGCTACCAATAATTATGAGAATTAATATATAATGTGATTGTATCTGATTCTCTCTTAGCAATCACGGTTATATTTTATATATATGTGTGTATATATATATATATATAT